TTGCACTCTTTTTCAGGCAGCAAAATGTCTTGTGACAGCCCTGAAGTTCAACAAGCACTAACATTCTCACTGCAGTTCATGAAAGGGAGGTTTCTGAAGTTTCTCATGCAGATATTTAAGGGTCAGCTTTAGAAGAGTTTTGATTGACTATCGTATCTATAAACACTCTTGCCAGCAATGGCATTACTCATGTCTTCAGAGTGAGGCCAAAGTTCAGTAATAACAACATAAACATGTCTGCATGACTAATTCAGAAATTTTTGAGGGGGTACATTTTTTTTCCCTTTCAGTTCCATGTCTGAAAACAAGCAGAAGCCTTCAATGAGACTGGAGCAAAGATACGCCACAGATTTTCCATTAATATTTATCTTCCCACAAACACTTTAAGTAGCTTGTCATTTAGAAACAAAACACGGTTGACAAACATTTGTATTTTAAGTAGCGTTGCTTGGTTCACCAGCCAGACTTTCACTGAAGGCTGCAGAAATTGGAAGGCAAAAAAGGAAAATACATGAATTTTTAACTTTTATTAATTTGTCTAGAAAAGAAGGTAATATCTTCAATGTTCACTTTCATATATTCTAGCTTTGTGTATGTGCCCTGCAAGCCATGTCTCTGCTCCTGTCTTATTAATATTGTTTGTACCTTTATCATGGATATTTATGTATTATTTGGAAAAAAGATGCAATATTTAATATTTCCAGTATACGTTTCTAGTATAGACATTATCCAAAATAGGAGGTTCTCATTGACTTTCCATTGACCAGGAATTTTTTTTTAAATTGACAGTTTAGGCTGAATTCTACAAAAATATTTCAGAAACCCTAAAACTGATCCCATTGTCCAAAACCTTTTAAACATTTTATTTGTATCTCTCGTGCATCATAAGCTCATTCAACTTTTTTTAAAATAAAACTCCAGTTTAAACAAAACAACCTATTTGTTCTGTCACTCCATTTGTTCTATCACTTAAATGTGGGAGACATTCCCCAAATCATTAATTGGACTAGCTTCCTCTACAGTAATTCCACTGATATTTATTTTACCCACACTAAAATAAAAAAATATTCAGAAAAGAGCCACAGAAAGGATAAAAAGTTGAGATGATACGACAAACAGATATAAATAACAGAAAGGTAGATTGTTGACAGACACGGCATTAAGCATATATGACTGGACATCTTCATTGCCAAGCATCTTTCATCAGCTATTCTTCCTGAATTAGTGCAACTGTATGAAAATATCCAGTCTAGGAAATCATGACTATTACTGAAGAGTCTTCCAAATGAGGTTAACTTGGGGGTTTGGCTGTAAAAGAATGACGACTGCCATGCAGAAGCTGAAAGACTTATTATAACGTCTTTGTTATCCCTCTGAGAGTTCCTTGAAACATTTTGCTACAAAGTAGTCCAAATTATCCATCAACAATCTGGCTGAATATCATAGATAATTGTGGCAGGCTGACCTAATCTGCAAGCCTTTTCTGCGATGTTCAGATAATGATGGAAACAGATTACAATGGAATTCCCAAACGTTTGTGTAGAAATAGCCTGGACATTTTTAAGAAAAGAAAAGACAAAGGCAAATCATGGCGCTTCTTGTTAATGAAAACAAAAACATCATGTTGGAGAAGAAAGTGTAAAGGTCCTAATTCATTTTTATTTCAGGATGTTTTGACTAATACACAAAGTTACACCATCTAATGAGGTGAGATATCTGGTTGCTGTCAAATATATGGTCTGAATGCATGAAATTGCTAAACTATTGAGCCAAATTAAGACTGCACGACAGGGAAAAAGCGTTCTAATATTATCATGTTTTTTCTTCTTCATTCACACCCTTTGCAATTGGGACTTTGCTGTGCAGAGTCTCTTTGCCCTCCCCAGCCAGAATAGTGTGAGACATGTTATTCACATCCTGGCTATCCAGGAGGAGAGGGTGAAGGAGTGCCTTAACAGGTGCTCCTTCCCCAATCTGCCTCTTTTGAGGCTTGTAACCCACCTGCCCACCCTTATAGCGAGTGTGAGCTTTGCTGGTCACCTCTGGGACTGGATAAGAATTTTTTACCCGCTTGCTGATTGGCTGTTGTTAGGAATTTTTGCCTAGCGCGCACTAGTGAAAGGGTCGGCAGTTCTACCAGGTGCTATTGCTTTTGGTCACACTGGCGGGTAGTGCGGAATGAGGATGAGTTCCCCGTGGAGTACAGGTGAGGTATAACGCATCCAAACCCTCAATGCTGCAGATCGCGAGGTTGCAGTGCAGGGAGAGGACACACTGGGGGCACCTCAAGGCTGGGGATGCCAATAGATGAGGGGCTAGGGTCACGGGGGTGGTCAGATCTTTGCCTACAGAAGAAGAAAATTAAACTAACATTACGTGATGTGAATTAGTCTCATCACAGGAAAGCATGGACAACTAGTAGAAACAGCCTCAATCTAACCCAATTTTCTAGTCTTTGTTTATGGAAATAAAATATTTCTGTTTTCTTTCTTGGATACATGTGATATAATAAGTGGCATTCCTCCATAACCCTGGGGAAATAAGTTACAATAGAGGTATTTTTAAAAACTTAATTTACAATGTTTTGGCATACCAAAATATGGATTTCTTCTTCTTCTTTTGGCAAAGCTGTAAAATAAGACTTTTAAAAGGTGAAATCCCTTTTGAACAAGGAACATCAGTGAAGGATTTAAACCTTTTATTTCTGTTACTCACAAATTATCCTAATAAGTATCACAACAACAAAAATTAACAATATGCAACAACACAGGCAGAATCCACTTGTAAGTTCAGCTGCACAAATCCAAAGTGACTCAAAGTTCCAAAATCAACTAAAGCCACATTCATTTGTTGAGAAAAATCTGGCCAGGAAAACGGAGCCAATCTTGTGTGTGAGTGTGCACACACAATCTTGTGTGTGTTTGCACAAGATATAGCAATAAAAGGGATGTAAGCATAGACTTATTTCATTCTTATACATTAGAATAAAACATTTCCAATTTTCTTTCCACTGAGTGAGATTACAATAGTTTTTGTGCTTTTAAAAAATGTTTTAGGAGTTTATTCATAAAAAAATCTAAGAAAGCTTTTTGTACACATTCTACACCTAATACAAGCATTGCATTTTGAACAAAATGTAAGGTTCATTTATTTATGCAAAAAAAAACTTTTTTTGCTGCTGATCATGAAAGAAAACATTATTTTTTTCCACTTTCAAGCAGAAAGCAACAGTTTTGCAGTGACTGACCATTTTTTCAACTGTCACGACACTATTTTCTCACTAAAAAGGTGGAAATGTGAAACATCTATTGCATCCTTAAATGACTATAAGCACAACATCCATATTCCTCTGCTCCATTTCCCATAAATACAGAAGAATTACAACAGCAGCAAGCGAATATATGTTTTCGTTCATTCCAAGGTTCCGGTCACAGGAGGGGCGTCATGACGCCCTCGAAATGCAAAGCTGGTATTTGCTCTCCTGGTAACGAAAAGACGCAAGACAGCAGGGCCACGTGACAAAAAGGTGGGGGCTGGCATTTAGTTAAAGAAATGCCAACCCACAAATCGTCCTCTTGTGCTTTCTGGCAGCATGGAGAGGAGGTTTTGAATGGATCGAGTGGAGGCTATTGGCAAAAAAAAAAGCATTGTTGTGGTTTTGGGGAGGGTAGCCCTGAGCTCCCTCCCAGGCTTGCTATTTCATTTACTTGTTTGTGGGTTACTGTTTATTTTTAATGGTGCATTGGATTGAGTAGTTTTCTCCTCTTATTTTTAAACTTAAAACAACAGGGGAGATTGGATAGATAAGAGCGAGCGGGCTCACCCCGTCGCTGCAGGAAGCCTTGCGAGTGATTAAAAGGCCTTCTTTCTTTATAATAAGAAACCCCACACACACATTTTAAATTGTATAAGATTACAGGTTACCTGGAATTTTCAGGCACCTTTGTCCGTCTCCTGGACTGTTTAGCTTCTTAATTTGGTGTTGTTTAACTTGGGGGCAAAAAGTGGGGTTGTTCTAAATGAAGGGACCTTCATTGTTGATAATTAGCAGGCTATCGGGGCTGAAGTTTATCAGCGGGAGCCATTTTATTTCCCCCTTTTATTCCCGGTTTTTTATAGCATCCGCCATTTTGTTTGGCTTGTTTTACTTTCAGAATAAGTAAGGGGGGAGGTAGGTAAATATTAATACATAAATAGACACAGATATTACATTGGCGGATCACTGGGAGTTCTATAATCATTCTAACAACAACAACAACATATAGTATTACAAACGGCAATTTGATTGAGCTTATTGGAAGAATTTGATTAAGGTTTAACATATAAAGGGTTTATAAATTCATTTCTAGGCGCAAGTCAATCAGAAAAGGGGGTATAATTCGATTCACAGGGCTTAATTAGGGAAGGGGCTAATTCCTATTTACAAAAAAATAATAAGAACAAGGATATATGTGTGTATATATATATGGATATGTATGTGTATGTATGTGTGTGTATGTGTGTGTGCATGTACATGGATGCAATTTTAATTGATGAAATTTATTTTGAATCAGCTGTTATGTAATTCATCATAATACTTTATTGGAGGGTAAATTTTTATTATTGTTATTGTTGTTGTTGTTATTTCTTTAGGACTTTTCTTGCCATTGGGGTTACCAGTAACAGATATGGCCTCAAAAATTAGTTTAATTATAATAGCATTTACTCTCAACTGTCAATTAATATATAAATACATAATGAGCTGCATTTAACCACAGGATTTAATTATGGAATATTGAGTATAGTAGAACAGTTGAATTAGGGGACCTTAAACAGCCTTGTTAAAGTTGGCCCTATGTTCTCGCCATGTTTTAGGACAGGGGTTGCAGATAGTCCCCACAGTTTGAGCACGACCATGCCACGTAGATGAGATAGGGGAACTAAGAGCATCAAAAAGGCCAGATTTAAATCATTAGCAAATAAATTAAAGGATAAATTTATTACTCTTGAGCCTGCCCAGGTTTCGGGATTACGGTTAGCCATGATGAAAACAAGGCATCTGCAACTCCAAGGGCTCTTACTATGGAGAAACGATGGTCATCTACACCTGTAGCGTCTGAGCCAGCATTGAAGGGCATGAGGAGGTCAGCTTCAGCACCCTACAAGCTTGCGAGGATTACCGGTAGGACGATGACATCTTCGTGTGAGTCCACCATTGCACCGGGAGCATAGACATCTTTACCTGCATGGCCTTCGGCTAGCAGCTCCACATCACAATTCACCACAAACACATCCCACACATCTATAAACATAGGGGTTGAATAACATGTCTTAGCCATATGCCAAGACACTGATTTCATTGGTTCTTTCTCCTTCTCAGAGAAAGATACCTTGACATTGCTCTTTGCAGTGTTGTAAGGAAGCTGCTTGCTCATGATGTGCTGAAGAGACTTCAGGTGCCTGCAGGAGTCTGTACAGAATCAAGTGTGGATTGTAAGCTAATAAATCCACCACTGGCATGGCATTTTCCCTCAGTCTGTTGCAGGAGAAGGGTAGGGAACAATGACAGCCACAATTGAGTGCCTGGGGCTTGCTCTATTTGGTAGCCGCCCCACAATATCAAGTAGAGAACCCAGCCAGTGCACCTACTGATTGATTAAGTCTGGTGCTCACCATCACAACAATATGGGGTGTGTGTGTGTTTTGCAAGAGACTAAACAGGGGCAATGGTAACCCTGGAAAAGGGACCTGGCCCAATTAAAGTTTGGGTTTTTGAAGGACTAACCTGATCATAGGGATGAGGCCTCTTATTTATTGGAAGGGTTAAAGTGAGGATTTAAGATCCCAGCCATGGGTGAACGGAGAACGTTCATCGGGCATAACCATAAGTTAGTGGAAGGTTTGATAATCACAGTTCAAGAAATTGACAAGGAAGTAAAGGAGGGTCAGGTCCTAGATCCTTTATCGACACCTCCCATTGAGAACCCAAGTGTCTCTCCAGTGGGCATAGTTCCTAAGAAGACTTGGGGAGTGTACTATGAGCTGCTCAGTGGCTTGAACTGCTTTTGGGAAAAATCAATACTTTTATTGAAAGGAAGATTAGGCAAATGGTGCATAGTAATTCCAGGGCCCGTTGCCTGATGATTTATTTATTTATTTATTGCTTTTCCCATCAGAAAGGATCCTGGGTAACTGTAGTTCCAGGCTAATATGCATTCAAATGCTGGCAGGCAATCTGGGGCTGCCCCTAGCTGAAGGAAAAAATGGAGGTGCCAGCAGCATCTCTAATTTCTATTGGTATAGATCTTACACAGTACAACAAACGTCAAGGCTACTGTAAAATAAATGGGGTGACCTTAGATCTAGAGTAGATGGGCTGATGCTTAAAAGACAGCATCACTCAATGATTTATAGAATAGATAGATGTAGATGGTGCTCGGGCACCTGGCCTGATGCATGGCACCAGGATTGCAACACGGGAGTCTAACTTTGTGGGATTTTCCAATTGTTAGAGACTTCTGACTTTGAGTTGACGAATGGTTAAATCCAGTTGTCCAGTTCTGGTGCGACACCTTGGCGGTTTATATGAGAGCAACCTTATGTAGCAATCAGAGTGGGTAATGTGATTGGTTAGGGCATTTACATTGCCGGCTTTGCAATTAATATTGGTGCAGGCCAGCTATGTTCTAGGCATTGAAAACAGAATAATGGATGTGTATTATACAAACAGATGGAACTGCTCAGGGAGCTAGCACCAGAAGCTAAGGAACTGACAGGAGTTTTTCCTCATGGGAAGGGGCTGGCTCTAGGTAACATTCAAGGTAGGCTATCGGCCGGGCCTTCTATGCAAAACAAATGGGCATGAGGATTTTTCCAAAGATTTTAGAATTAGGAGAATGCTGGAAGAATGGTCCAATGAGAAGGGCTGAGCAGGGAATGCCCGAGTACCCATCGCTCCTTTTTGTTTAGAATGCACATGTGAGTAGTGGGCGCTCCTGTGCAAGAATGAATACGAAAGGGCTTTGTTACTGCAACTTCCCTAATGGCATCTTGGCGCCCTTAAGAATAATGACCTGTTTGATGGGGGTAAGGCTGTCAAATCGAAGTCGGTGATTTTTGTTTGTTTGTTTGTTTTAGAATTTTTGACCCTGCAAAAGGAGTTGGGGATAAAAATTTTGGTCTACAGCTCCACCAGCATTGTCCACTTCTGTCTTAGACCAAGCCACTACATCTCAGGTAAGCTAAAGTGGGGTAAATCAGCAAGAGGAAACGTGAGGGGTGTTACAGGCAGAAAAACAGCCCAGCTCTGGGGGCTTGGCCAGGATCCCTTCTAGCTGGCATCCAACCCTGCTTATGTAATCCTTATGAAATATTGGTTCAGATCAAAGGGGTGGGACTAAGAAAGAGTGGGCCTGTGAATAAGAGATCTGAATCAGAAAGAGCAGGAGCACTGAAAAGGATGGAGCTGCTGTTGCCACTTAAACTGCTATGGCCCTTGCCACTTCGTCTAGGTATAATTCCTATATGTTTGTATTGGAGGGCTGAATCTACATAATGAATTAATGTATATGCAACTGAATTGATATTTTTTCTAGGGTTTTGAACTCTGAATGTGGAGATGATTTTCTTACATTGTGGATACCCAACCCAGTTGAGGAAATATCTTGGATTTTTGTCTGAATTTTAAATCAAAGGGAAATTTGAACTTTGCACTTCTACTAGCAGCTTCTGTATTTTGTGCACTCATGACTTCTGCTGTTGCCAAAGTCGTGAGTGCACAAAATTGTAGCATTTTGTTGTTATAATTGCTCGTGTTGTCTGTTATATAACTGTGAATAAGAAGAGACTCATTTTGTGAAATTGTGTTTGTAAGATTCATCAATAAATATCTAAGTAAACAAATAGAGCTATAGAACTTTAAAGCATTACACTTGGAAAAGTCTTTTGCTCATAAAATCATATTTCTCAATCAACAACCTTACTTTATCATGATGGGGACAAATCTGTTTAAAGAAGTGGTTCATTTGCAGTGACCTCTAGTTTGGTGCTAAGATTTCCTCACTTTCTGATTATTGCAGTGGTCTCTTAAAAGGCATGGACCAAGATTCTTCCACACTAGGTCCAAAACACATCATCATTATTTTGGACTTTTAAAAAGATCATTCAATTTATCAGATGACGGAAAGAAGAAAGAAGAAAACATGCTTTTGCTGGTAAAATACCACAAATTAGTGTTGAGACGTGCCAATTCCAAGAATGTTATTCTCTAGTTGCAACAGACTGTTAAAATAGAAACCCATTTTATTATGCTTCTTTTAATGCCTTTTTCTGGAAATAAATTTATAGTTAAAAAATAGACTGAACTCAAGTAAACTTTCCTAAGTGCTAATATTTTTTCCTCTTCAGCTTTATGAAGTCCAGATTAAAAACAATTTCAAATAAACACTATTTTCTAACTCTCCTATTATTTTTAGGTGACTTTGTTCTACTGAAGTTGGACAGTGCAAACTTAGTTTCACATTATATGACTGGACTAAATGGTGTACTTTAAAGAAAACCTGTGTAAAAATCTGGCCTTGTGGACTTTTACTGCCAGATAAATATTCAGTGTGGTAAATAACTATCTTGGAAGAGTTATAATCTTAGAATAATTCTAGAAATGCAGAGCTGGAAGGGTCATCATCAAGTCCAGCCCCTTTCAAGGAAATCCAGTGGGGAATCGAACTCCCAGCCTCAGGCTCTTAAACCTCTGAACTCTCTGGCAGTTGACTTGAGTTATGCTAAGGTTCATTACCAGAGCTTGAAAAAAGTTACTTTTTCTGAATAAAACTCATTGGTGACAACTCAGGAAGTTGTATTCTAACAAAATAACACTCCCCAGATCACTTCACCACATATTCCGCTCTAGAGACTGTGGTAGTACTTGATAATCTTATTTTTAGTTTCCATTACTGGAAAATTTCATAGGGTGTAAATCTCACAGATTCTTGCTCTAAGAGCAAAAGCAAGGAAAACAACAACGACAACCTTCTCTTCTCCTTGCAATTTCTGTGCTGTGTGCAAGATTTTTTGTTGTTGTTGTTGTTTCCGAGAAATCTTGTGGGATTTTCTGGAATTTTCGTGGTCACTTTTTTTCTGGAAGAAAAGCCAAACTGTGCAAGATTATTAGAATTTCTGCGCTGAACACCATGCTTTCTGCAGATGATTCACTTAGAAAGGGCGAAGAAACACTAAACCAGAGAAGTTTACTACAATCCATGGACAGAATGGCATCTTTCCTGAGCCAGATTCACTCGAAAGGCTATTAAGTGGCACAGAACTTGGCAGTTTTCTGCACAGAACAATAGAGGAAAAACAAAAGGCGGCAATGAGAGCAGGAGGTTCTTTTCACAACAAACAAGGAAATCTCACTGATGAAGAAGTCTCACTAGGGAGTTTCAGAATAATGAAACTTGGAAAATGGAGGAGAATGAGGCATTTTGTGAATACGTATTCATCACAACCCTCTTCTACAAGGACCAACTTGGCCTCTGCTATACAGTGGGGTCTTGACTTGAGAACTTAATCCGTATAGGAAGGCGGTTCTCAAGTCAAAAAGTCTGTAAATCAAGTCTCCATTGACCTACAGTGCATTGAAAACCGATTACTCCCATAACAGGCCGTTTTTGTTCCATTTTGCTTTTTTTCTGGTCTGTAAGTCAATTCTCAGGCTGCAAGTCAAACCTAAATTTTGCGGCCAGAGAAGTCTGTAACTCAAAAAGTCTGTAAGTCAAGCCGTCTGTAAGTCCAGGGTCCACTGTAATTGTGCTTAAGGGACATTAATATGAATACGAGGAGCTAGATTTTCAGAACCCAAAGTGTTCCTAAGTGTTCCTGCAGTTTAAGTCATGTAATAAATGTATGGCCATGGAAACCTTCCTATACTTGATGCTATATGTCCCAAAGTGAGTAGTTTTAGAAGAGGTAGATGTGTTGGTCTGTGCAAACATATTAGGTATGAAATAAAACAAAACAGAGGTGAAAACAACAACTATAAAAAAATTAAAAGATTAAAATGTGGTAACTTATTGCTCTATTTTAATGTGAACTTTCATGGATCAAGTCCACTTCCTCAGACATAAGAATAAGATTACAGGGCAAATATATATACATTTATATCTGAACACAAAATAAAGAGAATGCTTATGGGGCACAAGTTGTGGATTGTGTGGCATTTCACACCTTGTAATGACTTTTAAGATATTTAGCTCAGCTCATTGGAAACTCTTGTTCTGTAAATACCAACAATGGTTCAAGACTAAATTAACCCCAGGCTATAGATGACATAGCAGAGACAACATATGGTAATGACTTAAGAATATCTGACTATCTTTGAAGATTGTAAAGTGGCTCTTAGAAAGAAATGTGATTATGCAAAATACAGTAGATGCAACACAACTATTGTAGTTTTACATTTGATAATTGTCCAAGAAACCTTGGCAAATATAGAGTGCATTGAGAAGGGTTTTAAGCATATTTATACATTTTATCTCAGCTGTCTCTCTGTGGATTCTTGTTCTGCAATTAAAGGGAATTTGATGGCTAGTGATATAATGCTATAGTGTATATATGCGACAGAAGTTAGGTACAAAAAGAACCGATGTGCCCATGTTTTGCCTGTGGAAGTAGTAGTTAATACATGGTCTGAATTTCCTTCATTTTGGGGGGTTCAGCATCAACCACTTTGAACTGAAGGTTTTTTTCCCCTCTTTCTCCAATTTCTCTGCTTTTTAAAGCATAAGAGCACATAGGCATTAATGTTGGGAAAAGAATATCTTCCAGCTTCATCTCTAAAGAAAACACATCTATTCATGAAGCAGAGAGTTGCCACTTCAGACTCCCTTTTCCAAAAAATAGGATACAGTTGGTGTGCTGCTCAAAGTTTTTCTCTGTAAAATATGTTCTGAGATCAGGTACACAAAATGCTGGTCCTACTCAGGGTGGCAGATGGACAGGTGGCAGAATTTATAGGTGCAACTGCAGCAACAAGGAATAACAGGTGTAATTAAAAAGTGACTGGAAGGAGGAGGCACAGAGTCTACCATTAGTTTCTTTGGGAGAGATAAAATGAAAATTCTTGTCAATCATACTAGTAGGCATCCTTCAGTCTTAAGAGACTATGGCAACGTGCTCTGAATAGAGGTCTTAGAACAGCATCTAGTGTGACTGAGAAGGCCAATTCAAGAGTGACAATCCCTTCCACACTGAAAACAAATACAATCTGTCCCCTGTCCAGCTCCCTGATTTTGCTGGCTTCGGGACTGCCTCTTTGCCTTGGCCTGCTGGACAAGCGTCTCTTCAAAATGGGGGAGGCCATGATACACCACCTGCCTCCAGGCTGAACACTCAGATGTCAGGGTTTCCCATCTGTTGAGGTCCATTCCTAAGGCCTTCAGATCCCACTCGCAGATATCCTTGTATCGCAGCTGTGGCCTCCCTCTGGGGCAATTTCCCTGCACTAATTCTCCATACAGGAAATCTTTTGGAATCCGACCATCAGCCATTCTCATGACATGCCCAACGTAGACATTGCAGTTTCAGTACATGCTAAAAAATGACATGCCCGAGCCAACGTAGACATTGCAGTTTCAGTATATGCTTAAAAAAATTCCAGCTTGTTCTAGGACTGCTGTATTTGGAACTTTGTCCTGCCAGATGATACCAAAAATGCGTCAGAGACAACGCATATGGAAGGTGTTCAGCTTCCTCTCCTGCCGTGCACAAAGGGTCCAGGACTCACTGCAGTACTGGAGCGTGCTCAGGACACAGGCTCTATAGACCTGAATCTTGGTATATACCGTCATTTTCTTATTAAGCCATACTCTCTCTGTGAATATAGAGAACATGGTAGCTGCTTTGCCAATGCGTTTACCCAGCTCGACATCTAGGCAGAGAGTGTCAGAGATCATTGAGCCAAGGTACACGAAGTGATGAACAACCTCCAATTCTTGTGTAGAGATGGTAATAGAGGGAGGTGAGTCCATGCCCTGGCCCATGACTTGTGTTTTCTTGAGGCTGATTGTTAATCCAAAATCTTGGCAGGCTTTGCTAAAATGATTCAATAATAACTATACAGTGCTCAAACCCACCATTTAATTTCAACCAGAAATCATTCAGAATTTAATGTTCAGATTTGGATTGTCACATTCAAATTGCTAAGTTAAAATCCAAACTAAATTTGTAATATCTGAAAGTTGAGTCATGGAACTGTACTTCTTTCTTGTTAGGTTGAAACGTTTCACTAATCATCCAACTAGCTTCTTCAGTCTGAGGAGAGTTGGTAGGAGAACCTGATATATCCTCCACATTACTTTCACTTTCCCATGGTCTGAATAGGCTTGTTAGAAGGACAAAGGACTCGGGCTAAGGGATAATCCCACTTTTGCATTCCTTCTCCACCCATTGTCATGACTCATTAATGGTAGGTAACAGTGGTCTTTCTGGTATGTGCAGTCCTAATCTTTAAGGGATGGATGAAAGGGCAACATGATAAATAGAAGACATTTCAGAAGAACAAGTTCAATATAATCAATAAATTATGATGTTGAAATTACTTCTATAATAATATATAGAATATTATATATTACAATTACATCTATATTACTTCATCGAACTCAGGCCAAAGCATTTGAATGTCCGTCCTGGAATTTCCTTTTTAAGAAATGTAGTGGTACAGGCAGAACCATAACAAGAAATGAAGCAATTGTTTTGAAAAGAGGCAGAATGAAAATTCTCATTTTTTTTTAAATTGACACTTTTACCAGATTACCTAAAAGTGAGCATATTTCAATCATAGGCACTCAGTTCAGACTTTTTTTAAAAAAAACTGGAAAAATATGACAAGGCCATCATCCGGATTTTTGAGCATGGTATGTCCACTATGCAGGAAATTCCAGCTCACTGAGGCTGAGACATTTGTTACCGCTTCACTTGTGCTAAGTGATTTTCATGTGAGCAGAAGGCCCTATTTGGGTGATGTTATTCATATTTGTCTAACTCTTGTGTATTTTTTCTGTGTACAATTTCTACAAGAAAAGCAGACAAATAAATTTATCATCCATCAAAGGTCGGTGTCATGTCAGGGTAATGGCTTGGTACAAGTTGAAATACTTGGAATAACACATGAAAATGTAAAGAATACACAACAAACATGGGTTAGATTCAGTGGCCGCCTTTGTTCAAACTAGGCCAGGCTTCTGCAGATGGAAGTTAGAGGGAATCAATTTTTACCCAGATTCCTTTGTAGCTCAGAT